AAAATAAATATAGAGAAAGAATAAGGTTTTAAAAGAGGTGTGAGAGTGTGAATTACTAGAAACGAAAGAAGGGAGGATGGGTGGAATTAGGGGAGGGAGGGAGAAATCTTGCCAGTGTACCTTTTGGTTAGGGTATACAGTGCATGAAATCACTCTGTGAATGTGCAAGCCTCTCTCATGACAGCTGTTCTGTGGAAACAGCCTCAACGCACTCTTAAATTTCAAATGAGTAACTTATCCAAAAGAGTTGCCTACCCTTGGGCCAAATGTTTAAATAGAAGGATGTTTTCAGTCCATTGGATAATAGGACTCGGAGAGTTGATATCTCATGGAATTATCAGCACAATGGTTTGGAAATCTTTCTCATTCCTACTCTTTCATGAGATGGACCAAAACAAATATCAAAAGAATAACAATAGCCCCCAAAAAGTGCTTTGAAGAAAATAATGACTCATGAATTCTCTTACCCCTTTCCATATTAGTAGAATGTGTTCATAGGGGAAGAATGTGTTAATAAAGGAAAAGTCTTTCACCATTAACCCGTCTTTCTATGTCTTCAAATGGGCATGTCTCCAATATGTGTCAGGAAACTTTATGAAATTCCTTGTTATGGTTCTTACCAGCTTCTCACCACCAAAGGCCCTTAAGGATTTTTCTTGAAGTAATTGGGCAAATGTGTAATTGTTTAAATTATGGGATCGCATTTCTTAATTTTCTCTTGTGCATTTAGAAGATCTTCTTAATGAGGCTACTTCAGAACTTCACAAAATACAGAAATGGGCATTTTACAGAAGAAACAGAAAGAGGACCACTGACCTCTTCTGATTTCTAAAGCTAATCTGCAGACAGAGAAAAAACAGGGTTTCTCCTGCTCTTCTAATTTTTATTTATGTTTAATTTTATTTATTAACTATTTTGGTAATCTGCTCCAATCTGTAGCCTCTGGGAGGCAAACAACAGAGCAATAATAATAAGATTTTTCTAAGAACCCCCCCCAACTAAACCTATATTAAAGAAGAAAATTATCCAAAAATGTATGCCCCAAAACTATCAGCTGATTGAAAAGTCAAAAGAGAATTTTTTAAACTGCCTTAGGAACACTAGGAGGAAGGAGGCTGCATGAACTTCTGAGGTTAAAGGCTTCCACCACAGGGGTCCACAAAAGACCTGCCCTCTTGTCCGTGTCCCCCTAACTTCCCCTGAAGGGGAAGTCAAAGCTCCTCTCAGGATATCTTCACTAGACTTTGGTCCCCAAATTCCCCAGTCAGCAACCACTGTGGAAAGTGCTTCATTCCCACCTTCCAAAACCTTTGTTATCTCTTGATGTGGCAGGCTGTACTTACATTTTGGTACTTCTGTTTCCACTGCTGAAATCAGTTGAATTTGAGCCACAGAACATTGCCAAGCTGAAACAGCTGATTAAACAAAATCTGTGGCTACTGAGATTGATTGAGCTGTGTGAGAACATTATCAGGTGACTTTACTAGATATGAAGCATGAGACTCCCATCAGCTCTTAGTATCTCACAAGAGATTTCCTTGCTGCTTGTCTAAGTGCAGCACTGGGTCAACCAGAGCCTTGAAATGATACCACTTAGGAAAAATCAAACGATACCCCCTAACTTGCTAAACCCAACCCAAATACCAGTAAAGAGAAATAACAAAAGCAGTGAAATTTGGGCATTTAGCAGTTGGGAATTAAAATTGGTAAAGACCCCACAGCATGGTGATCTACTGCTATTCAGTGCATCATCTTGAACTGAAGACTTTGTGTTAATTTATTTCAGTGGAATCTCCACTGGACTTCTGAGTGAGCTTAACATCAAATTGCAGAAATTTAAAAAAAGGGTGGGAGAGTTGGATTCACTCTTGTGACTGAAGTTAGTTGGATTGCAAGTAGAAAGGATCTTATAATGGGTGCTCCTTGAGTATATTTTCTATGTAACACAAGCCAAATCAAGGAGTACAAGTGAACAACCTTGTCCCTTTGATATACTTACTTTGCTGCTTCTGCCTGGCCTTGTCACATATGGCTGGTCTCAGATACAACTTCCCTCCATCAGAGGCTGAACAATCATGATCACAGACCACAACACCAAGGCAGGATTTTTTTAATATGCGCGAGTTGTGATTGTTGGTGTTCCTCATTGCCCAGCTACTCAGGTGCCTCTGAGCATTTTTATCATCTGCGCTATAGATGTATTTTACGTAGGAATCTGGCCATTCCTGAAACCAATCTGTCTGTTTCACATCCTGTTAGGAACCCAAAGAATGTTACACTTGAGATGGAGAAAAAACAAGTAATATAGCTACTTCCCTCATCCTGCAGATTTCAGAGTTTGTGATGCCAACTGAGATGATTTTGAGAAGTTTAGGTTACAAACGCAGGAAGAGGACTTGCTGGAAGACACACATAAGCACAGAAAAAGGTTGGAAGAGAAAATATTTAGCTATTAACTTGCCATCCACAGCCCTTTAACCTTTAGTAATATATAATAGGATTGGATGCTCAGAACAGGCCCACTGAAATCAGTGGAAATTTAGTTAGGCACGATGAGATAAAATCTCCTCAGTTTTAGTGGCTCCATTTCAAGGATGATTAATTAAGATTCAAGCCACAATATTGGTGTTGTTTTAATGTCATGAGATGGAGGTACAAGAACAAAAGCTGGTTTTAAGCTGTCTTATTTTTGTTTTTCTATGTTATTGACTTCTGTATTTAATACATACATTATTACTTGCTGACCTCAAGCCCATTAAATATTAAGATGTCTAAGAATGAGAGAGCTATGTTAATTATATTCTCCAATAGGAATATGTTAATTGCATTCCATCTTCAAGATTTACCAAATATATCTGATTGTCTTCTTGCAAGATATGGTTTTAATCTATGTATGTATAGAGGAAAATGCCAGTTCGTGTGGCATTTTTCCTCAGAAATAATACCCATTAATTTGTGGCTATTTGTTTGGTTTTAATAATAGTTAAAGTGTAAAAGAACTGATACTATCGTATGCATTTCAGTGGGCCTTACCCAGTGCAGGAAAGTGCCCAGTGGAATGTGGTCAAAGAATAGAAAAAATAGGTTGCAATAATACAGCAACAATTGATGGAATGAGAATACAAGCTACCAAGCCCATTTTGACCAATTAGTATGGTATCACCATATTAAATTGAATTCTCAGTGTGAATTCTGTACACCTCTCAGTAAAACTAGTGTCAAAACTCCCAGTGAACCTCGGAAGTTTCTAATGGAAATTTGAATTATGTATTATGCTATGTTATGAACAATAATGTTGACAATGGATTGGATGTAGACTCAGTAAACCAATGCAGCTTAAAATAAAATAGTACAATCCTATACATATCTACACAGAAATTAATTCCATTTAGTTCATGAATCAGTCCTCCTACTGGGTCACACATAGGACTAAATCATGGTTTCCTTAGCCTTGTTTAATGTGAGTCCAGCCACAATGCTAGTCTCAGGGCAGAGACCCATGTTCCCCAATAAAGTCAAGTCTGCTTTGAATCAAGCTAATGATTTCCTGGAGATGTCCATGCAATTTTCTTGACCACGGAATGGAAGTGGTTTGCCGTTGCCTTCTCTGAAGATGTTTTCAACTTTTAACCTATAGCCCTGGCAGTCTCCCATCCAAATATCAAGCAGGTCCAATACTACTTAACGTCCAAGCACAGGCAAGATCAGCCTGGTGCTGCCACCTGCTGATGCATGTAGCATTGTATGGAATAATACTAATAAATAGTAATAATGATGACTAAAGATAAAACATGGTTTCTGCAAAAGTTAATATGGAAAAAATAATTTCTGTTTGTATAAAATAAGTGTTCTGTTATAGCCACCTACCTTGGGAAGTTTGATGTCATTAATATCCCAGCTGACTACTTCCTCATTTTTAGAAGACAAGTCTGGTTCCTTGCTAACATCCTCAGCAGCTCTCAGCATGTTAGGATTTGTCCCCTGGACTTAACAAGAACAGTCTCCACTGTCAGCTTTTGAAGTGGTATGGCAGTCCCAGTTAGCAAGCAGTTTAGAACCAGGAAGCAATTTCCTGAAGCTAAATCATAGGTTGCTCATTAAAGATAAAATCAGTATTCTTTTGCTAGAAAAACCCGTTCCATTAAAAGTTTTGCAAGCAGCAAAGACAATGGAAACTATAGCTTCCAGACAAGAGTGTGGTCTTTGGGAGATGGCATGAGCAGAGATCTATAACAGAAGTCCTTTTCATTGTTCTAGAATTTAAGGAATCAGAACTCTCACTTATGTTGTAGTAGTTAAATTTCCTAAAGTAATGTGCCTTAAGACACAGTTGTTCTGTTTGTTACAAAAAGTGTTGTAAGAGTTATGGCAGCTCTTGTTTCCTCCCTTGGATCCCATACGTATCTTAGCTAATGGTTAAACTTGTAAGATTGAGGGGGGGACTTGTATTCAAGATTTCCCACCATTTCTATTTTTAGTTAAAGGTAGTGATGGGTGTTCCTTAATTGATCTGGGGTTGTGGCAATGAGAGATGGAATCTGCTGCTCCCTTCCTTCATCTATGGAAAGTGTGTGTGTGTGTGTGTGTGTGTGTGTGTGTGTGTGATTTACAGGTTTAAAAGAAAAAAAGCTATGATGTCTTCATTTGTCATTTGGAATGTAAAAGACCTTAGAGCAAACATATTTACAAATGTAAGCAATTTTCAAATGCAAAAAATGTACTGGATAATTCAAAACGCACAATTTTATTTACATTAAATTAAAGTAGATATTAGTTATTTGCAAAATGTTGCAAGAAAGAGTTGCAATACCCCATATTAACACATCAAAAGTGATGAATTTTAAAGAAGTGTGTTTCTTCTGATCTTAAGATGAAATTAATTCAACATTTTTTTCATGTTTACAGGACATGTCAGAGAATGTTTTTAAAAGGCTGGTTCTCAAAATTATTATATTAGAAGTGAAAGAAGGAGTACTTATACATATAGTATAGATTTGCCCCACTATTATTTTGTTTTAATTTGTCTTCATAAATGTGTTAATATGATTTTGGGACAAGTAGTAAGGTTTAAAAATGTGGATGTAATTTTGTATTATGTCTCCAAACATTTGTAATATGAACATTGAAGGATCTACCAAGTATTAAAAAAATAAAACAAAAAATAAAGCCATATTTTACAGTGGAAAGACATGGAATGATGAAACATGTTCTCTCTGCTCATGAACGGACTCTCTATCAATAAAATGGAAAGACCAAACAGTATTCTGGTGATCAGGGTTTAATATATTTTTAAAAACTGAGCGGATGGTTAACATATGTATTATAGTTCATTTTGCTTTTGTCATATGTCTTTCATTTCCTCTTTTTTTTCTAATATATTAAAGCAATACTAATAATTTAAAAATTACTTGCGGTAGAACCTATGATCTTTTTAGCTGCATCAGGACTCCTTACATCAAAGGAGAAGGAGGAATACATGTTGTGCAAGACATGTGGCCAGATGTGTAACTCAAGCAGAGGACTTCTTAGGTGAATTTAGAAATTGCATATGATACTTAGAAATGATTTACCTTTTCTGATTATTACTTCTATGTTAATATTCATTGCTTAAGTGAAGTGACAATAGGGGAATCATCATGAATTAACCGAAAAATAAGTAGCCCCTGCATAGCCCACTTGAAAGCCCAAGAGGCCCTAAAGTTCTTTGTGATTACAACATCCCATTGCAAGCTATTACTGGTGATAAACAGAGTTTTGGAGTTCTTTTAACTGTGCTTTGCCTCAATTTATAGGGCAATAGATGGCAGCAAAGACATTGTTTTCTTCTCTCATTCTCAAAGCATTTCCATGTTACTAGATAGCATAGACAAGCTTTTTGGGGGGGGGGGGGAGCCTGTTTCTGATTGTATTTTAAATCATGTTTTGCAGGGTTTGAGTGCTTTCCCAGCAATAATATTCATGTGGCAACTGATAGTCTTAAATTTAGCAAAGCTTCAATCAAACTGAATTCAATCAAATCCTATTGAAGCAAATTTGCAAATCAAAGTGGGGTTCAAATGGAACGGGCTTTGCACATTTGGTGGCTTTTCTGATGCTTTTGGGATTTCTATAGACAACATACAGGGTTGCAACTTCACTTCCGTATGTGAAGAATGTGGAGGGTTTGATTGAAAATGAGGGGTTCTCTAAGGGCTTATCCCCACATCTCTCTAACTGTAGCATAAATCTGTATTAGTATCATTATATGACATATCCTTGTGATGTTGCCTTCATCCCATCCCAGCACACTGTAAATTTAAGGTTAGCTTAAAGTAATATTTAGCTGTTTGTTTTTAAATGATTTTTGTTTTCTCGACACAATGTTTACCATGGTCATGATCTAGGACCTTCTTCATGTGACTGATGCCAATCAGGAGCTGGGATTTGTTTGGCTACTAATGGCCACTTTAGGGAACCATGGAAGTCCCTCCTGTTCTCTGGTCCCTGTGTGGTCATTTTATCTAGGGCTAAAGGAGAGACTAGACAACTGAATTGTATAGAGGGATCTGCCCACAAAATGTCTGATGGGCACTTTCTGAAATGCTTATCAGGTTTTAAGAAGTTTTTGTAAATATACAGGTTTAGTGTTATTTTGAAAAAGTGCTAGATTTGTCTTTAAAAACAAGGGTTTCTCATTTTTTGAAAGTTTTCTTAAGAGACCATTAGTTTGCACAGAAGGTTGATTTAAATTGGGAAAAATTGCTGAATTGTATCCATAATATGTTGCTGAATGCATTATAGGTTTTCTTCGGCTTCCTTTGGCAAGGGATGCATGTGGAGATCTGTTTTAATTATTTTGTTTTGGAGGGAGTGATAGCACCATTTTGCCTCCTCCAGAGGATACTTGGAGGTGCTGCCAGTCCTCTTGTAACCAGCACTGCTGTTCTTTTGCTGCGCTAGTCAAGAATGGGCCTTGGCCATGACTGATCACTATCACCTACTTCATCCAGTGCCGTTCCTCAGAGCCTGTGATCTGTTTTGGGACATGGCTTTAGCACTCTTTAAAAGAGTGCTAGGCCTGTGCTAGACCTGTATTTTCAAAAATATCCCCACTGACAGGCCAAAGGTGTGGAGCACCTCTGCATCTGTGACCTGTTGCTAGGGCTACTTGAAAGGTGGCTAAAGCCACTGATAGGACATAAGCAGCTGGCAGCTGCCTCGGCTGCTGCACAGTAAGCAGGAGGGCAAAAAACACCTCTGTAAGAGGTCACTAAAAGTTCAGTAATTGTACACCATCCCAGGTGGAGAGCTAGTCTTATAATTAGTTTTAGTAATGAGTGCACTGTAGGAACATGTGAAGAGAGAAGAAAGTGCGCAGACGCAGCTTGCGAGCCGGGTGCAAAAGGTTAACAATGCACATGAGCAAGAATCAGGCAGTAGATGATATAAGGCAACTGAAAGTGATAGGATGGCGTGCGCAGGTGTCTCTTTAGTAACTGTAAAGAGTGTAGGTAGGTATAGCGTAGAATGCAATGCAAACCTATCTATGGACTGAGAATTTCACACTCTGCATAGCTTATTGCTTTGTGGCTGAAAGTTTATGTACAATTTATGACTTTGTTTTTCACTTGTTGCAAGAATGTATAAAAAACTCTGTTAACGCGAAAGCTTTTGTGCCTGCTCTGGAAATTATTCCCGGGCCCCTTACTCTGCGCAGAATAAATACTTTATTATCTCCACCCTGGTGTGTTTATTGGGCAAAATTGCATGCCAGGCTAGAACCCCCCAGAGTTCCTGGGAACACCACCACCATTCCAGGCAGCCACCATATGCTAAGGAGAGTAACTGATGGCAGTTTTTCCCACTAACCAGTGATGTTCAATGGTGGGGTGGGGGTGGGGCATGGGAGCACGGTAGCCAAGAGCCCGCTTGGTGCAGTGGTGAAGGTGCTGGCCTAGAAACCAGGAGACTGTGAATTCTAGTCCTGCCTCAGGCATGAAAGCCAGCTGGGTGACTTTAGGCCAGTCGCTCTCTCTCAGCTCAACCCACCTCACAGGGTTGTTCTTGTGGGGAAAATAGGAGGAGGAAGGAATGTTATGCATGTTCACTGCCTTGAGTTATTTATAAAAAATAATAAAGGCAGGATAAAAATGTTTAAAAAGAGAGAGAGGGAGAATCCATCAATCACTTTCCCTCCCTTGTTCTACATTAAAACTAGTAACAGAACTGCTTACATAGTCCTCATTCCTGAGGCACAATAAAGCTTGACAGAGGAGCACCACTTATGCCAACTTTTCTGCCACTCAAGGTTAATGCAGCCATCTGGCTATGCCCTGAGACTGATATTGATAGCTTTATCTTGTGTCAATGGCATGTTACACTCCTTTGTTCGTCCTGCCAACACAACTGGTAGCTCAGCTCAGCTCTCAGAACTCTGAATCAGGGCTTGTGATTCAGGCTCTGAACATGGGTTCAATATGCACGCTTAACATCTGCATTATGAGGCAGGTTTAAGTCCCTCAGTGACGAGGGAATGACTGCCAGGGTAACACAATCCTGACCCCAATATTTACTGCTTTTAAAAATGGGGGTGGGGTGGGGTTAGGGCTATGAATGCTACTTCCTCTTTGCCAACCTCTTTTTTTGTGACCCATCTATCTCTGGGACATTGCATCTCAAGGTGCCAGCCTGCTTCTCCTGCCTCTGCTAATTAGCTAACATAAGTGCTGTGAACAAGCCATTGCCCTGTCATAATTGAGTCCTGCCCCCTTAAGAGGACTCCTGTTGCCCAGCACTGTGCATTTTATATTTTTATTGGTGTGAGCTTCCCTGAGTGTTGGAATACACATAAAGGTGAGCATAAATTTAATAAATATACATAATATGTGAGCTCACAGCAATTGTTTCAAAAGATGTATAAAATACATGTTAAACGCCCCAAGTTTCTAAGCTCAAGAGAGGCCATAAATCCATCCACATTCCTAAAC